GATGTGACTGGTATTGCGGGATAGTTTCTGCATTCTGTTGAGTCATTTTTTCTTTGGAATGGACACAAATAATGGATCTCATCCAGTTGATTGGCCAGGTAGCTGTCTTCCAAATGTCTTGGCATAGGTGAGTGAGTGTTTCCAGTACTTCATCAGCAGGTTGTTGGAACATTGGGGAATGGGAATTCCATCAACTCTTGGAGCCTTACATTTCACTAATGCCTTCAGTGCAATTTGGAGTTCTTCCTTCTGTATTCTTGATGATAGGCCACCTCTTGTTCAAAAGTTAACCAATGCTTAGTTGTGGGCCAATCAGTAACGTTTTACTGTGAATTTATTCATGACACCATTCTTAATATCTTTTTAGAATCTTCAAGCTTGCTTAGTTTATAGGTCCATTTGGACCAAGGGTCAGAGCAGGGGCAAGCTGTTCTGATTAGCCAGAGGACTTAGGTCCTCTCACACACCACCACCTGACGTATGGCTTCTCCTAGCAGGCCTCTGAGTGGAATGCCTGGAATAGGCCAGGAGCATAAACATCGACCGAGGACTTGGATAGCAATGCATTTTCAGTCCCACCCAGAGCTACTCATGTAGCAATTCTGCAGGCAAGGCCCAGGGATCAGTTCCTACAAACCCTTAGGTGTTTCTGTTGTCCCTTCAAGTCTGAGGACCACTGATTACATCATGGAGACTTAATCACCTCTGACTGCCTCACCCTTCCATAGGTATGATTCATCTGTTACTGCCAATAGGGATGTTGACAGCCCAGCTTGGGATGTTGGTGCTATGAAGCACTTCTGACCCTACTTGTGTGCACTGAGGTTCTTGTATTGACACTAATGGTGAGACCTTTCCTAGATAGTGGTGTTCCTATGGTTATTAGCTAGTGTTGAGTCAGCTCCAACTGTGGTGACCCCTTGTACATTGGAATGAAACTTTCCCCACCCCCATGCTGTGTGATAGATCAGACTCCTGTAATTTATAGCGTTTTCACTGGCTGATTTTCCAAAGTAGAGTGTAAGCCTTTTTTATTGTTGTTCCTATTCTGTGTTAGTCTGGAAGCTCCATTGAAACTTGTTCATTATCATAGCAACATACAGGTGTCCACTGCCACATAAGTGGTGGCTGTGCAGGAATTGCATTATCTTGGGATTGCTCATCAGTCTCCAGAATGAAGGTGAGAATTCTCCCAGGGGACCACTAAGAGGTGGGGTTAGGAGTTCATTTTGTATAGCCAAAAGATCAAGTGAGGTTCATAGGTATTGATAGGCGTTGGATCCTTGACTTTAGCTCATTCCTTCTAACCAACTGACTACCTTAGGATTCGAAACACCCATGGTGGCTCCCACAGTCCCTCTGTTTAATAGGATTTGACAAGTGAGTTCCTTCCACTTATCAATGTTTTAAACCTGCCGGAGATCCATCAGACATTCTGGACTCTGACACGTTGTCCAATTTCCAGCTGTCAAGTTGTACACTTCAGTTGCTGAACTCACACACCTGTGTTGTTGAAGATCCGGAGGAAGTCACTGTGGGGGAATCTACTTGTTCAGCAGTTGCTTGCTCCCCAGAGGCTGTGCCTGAATGGAGTTTCTATTTTTGGTGGCCTACTTGTGTCTCAGGGAGGCAGGGAGCTGGAAGAGGCAGGACAGCCCCTGCATGTGTGAAGATGAAGGTGTGACCAGTTTGTTTGTTTTTTCTTGTCATTTGCTGAAGACATAACACCAAAGAGAGAACTTTAACAGTAGAAACAGCCTTTGAGGAAATAGTAACTCTCATTTTCCCAGTTCTGGGCGCCATTGTTGCTGGGCATAGCTATTGGTGCTACTGAAACCAAGCCCATTACCATTGAGCCAGTTCCCACTCATAGCACCCCAAGGTGGGGTTTTGGAGCCAAAGCAGATAGCCCTACCTTTCTCCCACCAAGTGGCTGGAAAATTTGAACCGCTCACTTTGAGGTTAGCAGCCCGGCACTCCATCCACAGCACCACTAGGGCTTCTTCTCGAGCGATATAAGGACCTGCTTTGTGCTTATCATCTGCCAGGCAAAATGCACACACACTTGCAACCGCCTGATAGAGCAGCTCTTCCTCCCTGCTGACAGTCAAGGAAATAAAAACCTGGAGGATTTATGAAGGCTTCAAAAAATTAATGTTGAGGGGGTGAGGGGGTGGTAGGAAAAGATAATGGAATTTTTCCACGAATTCTTAGAAGCCTCCTGGTAAGTACCTTGTTCAGCATCACATGGCTGGTGAGGGGCGGAGCCAGCACTCAGAGTGAGGGACGCTTATTGCTGACAGTTCACAAATCAAGTTCCCACTCTCATACCATCATGGCTTTTCTACCTCAAATGGGATTTGCTCTCGGAAAAAAAGTTTATATCTAACCCTTATCAATTATTGCTTGGAATATTTGCACAGGACAACATACCAGTCAGTTGTTTCATTTTTAGTTATTTGCCAGCTCTAAAGAGGAGTCCTGGTGCCCTTGAGGGTTACGAGGTGGGCTGCTAACCTCAAGGTCAGCAGTTTGAAACCACCAGCTGCTTCACTGGAGAAAGATGAGGCTTTCTACTGCTGTAAAGAATGTCTCAGAAACCCACAGGGGCAGTTCTACCCTGTCTTATAGGGTCACTATGAGTCAACATCAACTCGATCCGATGGCAATGAATTTGAGTTTTGGGCCAATTCTAAATATTTATGTATGAGGGCCAGGATAGGGCTATGGACAGCATTGGGAAATGACCTCCAGGCAGCAGCGGAAAGCAGGCTGAATGTGTCTTACCCCTCGGGAAAGTAGGGCTGTGCGTGCTTAAATGTACAGTACACCTCCGTTGGTCTGCATTGCCCACTTTGTACATGCCTACAGAAACCAAATTGGAGCAGATGAAGGAAATGTACAATTTTCTAGCAAATGTGATTCCTTCCTCTTCCTGGAGCCACATCTACTATGGACATCCTGACCCATCCCAGGAAGAGGAGAATTCATGTTCTAAGCCTCAGAAGCACAGGGTCTTCCCCCGGGCCACAGTGATGTAACATTAGGGAGAGAACCTAGTCTGTTCACAAGGGAATACTCATATGTCCGCGAGCCAGAGGCTTATTATGCAGAGATGGTTTGTTGTTTGTTTTAAAGGAAGATGTTATGTAATGGGAGCACGAGTGTGGTTAATCGATTTGATTATATGTTGGAAAACCTATGGTTTAGAGCTGGTTTTGATTGTCGGCACTTTAAAATGAATTGATGGGGCCAGAGAAGGGCCTATCAGGATTATAGAGTTGAAAGAAACAGCAGAGAAGGTCCGGCTTTGGGCCACAACAGACAGTGTCACAGAGACGTCACAGTGCAGAGACCATTGTTTGTCTGCCCGGCCTGCCGTGAGTGCCCTCCAGTGAAGTTGTTCATTCCTAGCCACTTCACGGGACAGTCTAACTTCCCAAAGGGTTTGCCAGCCTTTAAGGAAGTGAACTGTGAGGTCTTTCTTCTGCTAGGTGAGTTCGGACTGCCACGTTTCAGACTACCCATCCGGGATCCTTATGTGGAGAGCTTGCTTCTGAAATCATCTTTTCTCAGTGCCCTGTGATCCTCTGGGGGTGAGGGAAGCCATGTGTGAATAACACATAACGGGAGAAATAATGGCAGTCAGTTAATTCACAGAAGCAGCCCTGGTGGTGCCGTCAACTACAAGGTGAGCGGTTCCAACCCTCCAGCCTCTCTGTGTAAGCTAAGGCTGTCTGTTCCTATAGAGATATACGGTCTCAGAAATTCTAAATAGGATCGCTTTGAGTCACAATCAACACAATGGCACTGGGTTTGCTTTGGGGATTTTTAAGTGCTCAAAGAAGACAATAGTGTAGCCTTCACACCAATAGTTTTATTAGAAATGCACAGAAACCCTCAAGCAGAGTGAGTCCTGGCTCCTGGCCTGGTGGGTTTTATAAGCCAGCATTCAGCTGCCAACTGAAAGGTCAGCAGTTTGAACCCACCTTGGGAGAAGGATAACACAGTCCACTTCTGTAAGGATTTACAGCCTTGGAAACCATGCCGAGCATTCTGCCCCGCTCTATGCCCCTGTCTGTGCCCCGCTCTATACCCCTGTCACTATGAATCAAAATGGGCTGGGTGGCACAGTGGATCTACTGCAGTTTGTTTTTGCGTTTGTAAAGTGAGCTCAAGTGGAGCCGAGGTTAAGCCTTCAGCTGTGGTGAGAATGCTCTAAGGGAGAAAGAGTGACAGTTTTGCTTTTAGAAGGATGATTGTCTTGGAAAGTTTAGGGGGCCGCTCTACCCTCTCCTTCAGGGTCACTGTGAATGGAAAGTAACTCGATGTGCAGTTTCTAGGCTTCTAAAGAGACACAGTGAGCCATTCTGGGTAGCCTGCTCATAGAGTCCCCCCTTCCCCCCATGGTTAAATCAGCCCAAGATATCAGGGGAGAGTGGGTCTCCAGAACGGATGTGTGGTTTTAAAAGCCCCTTGCTATTGAGGGGATGCTGACTCATAGCGACCATAGAGGACTGAGCAGAACTGTACCTTCCGGTTTCCAACACCCAAAATATTTTTCCTATGGAGTGGCTGGTGGGTTGGAGCCCACCTTGTGGTTAGCGGCCCAATCACTAGGCACCTTTTAAAGGTCAATGGGGACCGTCAGTGCAGGTGACTAGGCTGCAAAGACAAAGGCGTGCTCTCCATGGAATCTCACCTTAATGCAGGCAGGGCGGGGAAGGTGACTGATGAACGCGTAGCTGCAAACTTGCTCCCGGCTTGCCTTGTGGATGGTGTCCCTAGCTGTCTGATCGTGTATTATGTAACCGGTGCAGGAGGGGCTCGGGAGCCCCTGGCGACAGGACACAGGCAGGTGCTGGGTTTGGGTGGAAGAAGAACAGCTGGCGTGTGGGGTGCTTAGTCTCCAAGCGGCTCAGTCGTTGCGGGGAGGGGGGGCGCACCGCTTCTCCAAACTCCCGCTGACTTTCTCACCCTGCTTTTCCCCCTTTTTGAAGGACGGAGGCTGCACGTGTCCAGGAGATGTCGCCAAAGCCTTCGGTAAGGACCCGGCTGGGAGCAAGGCTTCTGCGTTGCGGTGCTGAGGCTGCGGGGCGGAGCCAGAGTAGGGGCGGCGGGCCCGAGGGTGAGGGGTCGGGGCCTAGACCGGCAGGGCGGGGCCGCGGGGTGCACAGAACCCTTCCTTAGGATGGTCCGCACTTTCTTCTCTGGGGGTTCTGGTGCGGGGATTTCAGGCCAAATTGTTCGGAATTCCCCCGTTCTGGCCGAGTGCCCAGAAGATGGTGGCACTCCTGCACGCTAGGTTGGTTCAAGTCCCAGAGGAGAGAAGGCACAGGGAACCCCTTTGTGGGGACAGTCCAGTCTGATTAGTAGTAACTGCAGGGAGGGCCTTTGGCGCACCCCGGGAAATCCCGCGGAAGAGACCTCCTGCAGGTTCTCATGCTGGAGGAAGACTGTTTTCTAGCAGGGCGGCAGCAGCATCTGGCGGTGCAGTGGTTCGGGGTGCTAGGGCCTGAGTCCTCAGATGGGTTTCTTGGGAAAATCAACTGCACGTCCAGGACCTCAGCTAACAGGCTGGAAAACAGGGTTACTAAGTCCTGTCAGAGCTCACAGCACTGTGGGGCACCAAACTGTTAGATGTGGGCTGGCTGGAGGAGCTATGGGGGTTAGACGAAGCTGGCAGGTCCCCCATCTCCTTAACTGAAATGGGGTCGTTTTGTGTCAATTCCAGCTCACCAGTTTGCTAGCTTCTCTCTCCCACCCCCACCCCTCCTCCTCACCTCCCCTTCCTTCCTTTCTTTCTTTGTTAGGGTAAACTTCTTGTCTTAGGAATTCTGGTTTCTAGTATGAAGACCCAAAAAGTATCCGCCCAAATACCAGGAACAGAAGTTCTCTGTAGCAGAGTTTAATAACACCCCTAGAGACTGCCTTAAAACTGGCCACCCTTTTTATTTAATCCCATTCCGAAAGCCCTGATCCAGTTTGCGACTGCGTTCCAGGGGAGTGGGTGACAAGGCTAGGAGTCACATAGGAGAACTCAGGACTCCCACACTTGCTCGCTCCTGACTGTGAGGATCATCCATCAAGAACACTTCCCTCTTGATTTGTGAGCTGGATCTACTTCATCCTGATGGATGTTTCCTCTCGGACCCCCTTCTCATAGTTCACCGTTCTCTCTAGCACCTTGTCATCAGGGAGGTGCCTGGTAGAGACCAGATCAGGGTGTGGTTCTGGGCAGTCAGACTCATGTTCAGACCCCAGGCTTAGCTCAGATCCCCTCTGGTGTCTCTTTCTTAACTCCCCTCGTCCCCTCAGGGGTTCTGAGCAAGAGAGACAATGTCAGGGAAAGCAGGGATGAGAGAAGAATCCATGGGGAAGGGAATTGGAAACCACTTCAAAGCATCCTTGAAATGCACCTGTGCTTCGTGCTCCTGCTGATTCAGTTTCGGGTCCACTTTGAGGCAGACAAGCCATTCTTGGTGCTCTCGGGGGAACATGATTTGTTCTGACCTCCCCTTAAGGCTAGGACAGGTGTCAGCTGGACCAGCATTTGCCTTAGGATCCTGGAAGGAAAGCTGTGCAGAACTGGCTTCAAAGTAGAAAGGTTCTGCGTGCCAGGGCCACCTGGAGGCCAGGGCAGGGGTGCCCCCTGCAGAGCAGTCCTTGCAGAGATGCTAAATGCCCCATGCAACACCCCGCCCCCCATCATTTTAGCCACCTCTGAATGGCCAGGTGGAATACATCAAGGACCTCGTTTAATTGCCCTATGCTTAATTGTGCTTCCCAGATCCTGAGTTGGCTCAGCTGTTAACCTACACCTTAAGGACGCAGTTCTCTGAACCATATGGGGTTGTCCGAGTTTGAATGGACTTGATGGCACCTATTTTCGGGGGGAGGGGAGGGGTGGGGTGTATGACAATATTGGTCACCAAGCCTTTGCAAGCTCCGTTTGCTTCCCTCGGTGTGTTTCTAATACCCACCTCCCTGAATGGGTCTTCTTCACCGGTTTTGTAGCAGGGGAGAGGTTGGGCTTGTTTCCTTCACCATAGGCAGGGGAGAGGTGAGTTGAGAATCTAGAGCTGACGTCCCTAAGCGCTGCTTCTTAGTGTCCCCATGCTTGGCTTGTAGGAGCTGGAGCTGACTTTGTCATGCTGGGAGGGATGTTCTCGGGCCACACCGAGTGTGCTGGGGAAGTGATCGAGAGGAACGGCCAGAAACTCAAGCTCTTCTACGGGATGAGCTCCGACACGGCCATGAAGAAGCACGCAGGGGGCGTTGCTGAATACAGGTGAGGGGAAGCAGCCAGCGCTCCTTTGGTGAGGCCTGGGGCTTAAGGAACACCGGGTCTATTGGTATTAACATGTGGGAAGGGGCGAGACAGTGCATCTTCTTTCAGAAACTGGTTCTTCTTTCTGTGCCATGCCTGGGTAGTGCAAATGGGTGATGCTCTCAGCCGCTAACTGAAAGGGTGGAAGTTCTTGTTCACCCGGAAGCACCTTGGAAGAAAGACCTGGTGATCTACCGCCCCAAACTCAGGCATTGGAAACCCCTCTGGAGCACAGTCCTACTCTGACACACATGCGTCAGATTCAATTCCGTGGATGTGAACTGCATTTCCATCCAGCTGGCATTTGCAGGGTTTGAGGGCCTCCAAAGGAGGGACAAAGCAAAAGTGCTTGGGGCTGAGTTGGAAATGCGACTGGATTGGGGTGAAGGGGAAAGGTGTGTGTTAGCAGGTGTGTAATCAGGGGATGGAAGGCGCATCTGTCCTCCTCTGACTTCACAAGGGGGAGGGAGAGTCAACTTCACCATCTGCCCAAGGCTGATTCCCAGGAGGCAGAGGTCATATATGTCTTTACCCCCACCCCACCCCTGTTTATGAATTTACGAATCAACTGCCACACCCCTGCCCCAGCATGCTCTGCTTCTCTGCTGGGCTCAATATTTCATTGCCATGAACGCACCACATAGATTTTTCAGTTTGTTGGGAAAGTTAACAGGTTACAATTCAGGATCAGAATACTCTGGATATAGTTCTTTTGGCCAGGAATGCCTCTTGTCAGTCATACCCGGAAGCATACATCTCTGTGGCCCTCAGACTCTTAGCCACTCAGCCCTTTGGCCTCTCCCCTGTTTGGGCAACTGTTACCAAACTTCTTAAGGTACGGGGCTCTAGCTTTGTGGGTCAGCAAGCCTAGCTCCCCAGAATGAGTACCTAGAGGCAACCTACTCTGTAACTGAGTCTCCTGCCAGCAGGCACTCCGCTCTACTGACTCCACTGTGCTGCCTGCTGCTCTTGGCGCTGCTGCCGCTGCTTCTCCAGGGCCCAGCTCTGTCTCCTGGATCCAGGGGAGGTTCCCCGCACAGGGAGTCAGGGTCTGAGGGGCGTACACCACTTCTGGCTCTTTCTTCAAAGTGGGTGAGATCCCTCTTTCCTGTCTCCGAGATGGAGCATGTCATATGATCCATCTGGGGATGGCAAAATTGGCCAATCCCCACCTCAGAGTTCCACACAGCCAGTCATTGGGTGTGAGTTACCAAGGGGTTCACTGCACCACAGTAAGTCTGACTCCCACTCAACCAGCACTTAGAGGTGACTCTCCAGAGGTCCAACAGGTGGGTGGGGAAACGACCTTGTCCTTCTGATGCAGTTTTGCCGAGCTTTCCAGGTAGGCACGATGAGCCAGCTCAGGCTACAAGAGCTGGGTTGGCGAACAAACCCTGTCCATTGCATGTGATTGGTAGGGTCTTTTATTTTATTTTTTTTTAAGATGTTTGCAGCTACTTAGTTATAGTTATATAGTGGCGAAATGGGCTCAAACATAAAGAACAATTGGGAGGATGGCGCAGGCCCTGAGGGGCAAGGTTTCACTCCGAGTGCACATCTCCCAACAACATGTCCGAGGGTCTTCAACATTGCCCTGCTCTGGAGGGGCCCCCCAGCTGGTGCTTCTCAGTAGGGGCAGCACTAACGCCTGTGTGTGACAAAATGGGGACAGGCAGGGGGGTTGACAGTCACAGAAGGAAGCTGGCCTTGAGTAGGCTGCTTGTCTTTCTCTGGCCTGTCGGCTCTGCCCCACCACTGGGGGGAAAGCCTGAGCCTCCCTGGCTGCACCCCTTTTCTCCTGCCACCCACACCCAGAGCGCCTGGGAATCTGAGGAGGAGCCCCGTGGTACAATGGTTAGGAGTTGAACTGCTAACTGTAAAGTCAGTCGTTTGAAATCACCAGGGACAAGATGAGGCTATGTATTCCTGTAAAGCAGGGGTCCTCAAACTACTGTCCGCGGCCACATGCGGCCCACCAAGGACATCTATCCGGCCCGCCGGGTGTTTTTGCCCTGTTTTGTTTTTTTACTTCAAAATAAGATATGTGCAGTGTGCCTAGGAATTTGTCATTATTTTTTTAAAAATTATAATCTGGCCCTCCAATGGGTCTGAGGTACAGTGAATTGGCCCCCTGTTTAAAAAGTTTGAGGACCCCTGCTGTAAAGGGTTACAGTCTCAGAAACTCACAGGAGCAATTCTGGCTTGTTCTTTCTAGAGCAGCGGTTCTCACCTGTGGGTCATGACCCTTTTGGAGGATGAACGACCCTTTCACAGGGGTCACCCAGTTCCTAACAGTAGCAAAATTACAGTGATGAAGTAGCAACAAAGATCATCTTATGGTTGAGGGTCCCCACCACATGAGGAACTGTGAAAGGGTGGCGGCATCAGGAAGGTTGAGAACTGCTGCTCTACGTGGCTGCTGTGAGTCAGAATCTACACGGTGCTGGTGAGCTGGAGCTTGGGAGTCTGATGCCTTCAATAAGTTAGAGGTAACAATTGCAGGGCCCCACTGGGTGCGGCCCTGCTCTACCACGTGGAGCATGGCGGGAGTCGGCATCAACTGCATCACTGGGGTTGTGGGCTGAGCATGGGAGAGACGCTGTTGAGCATACATCTGCAGCTGTGGGTGGTGAGAAGGTCCTTGGCTGGTCTCTGACTCCACAGGGCTTGGACTCAGGCCACACCCAGGGCAACTGGCACAGTGCGGTGAGGGCAGTGAGCTGGATGGGGTGAGGGTGCCTAGCAGACAGGCTGTCCGTGTGCAGCCCTTGTAGCGCTGGTGGCGGGCGGTTCCCACCTAACCCACAGGGTGTAGCCTGTCCACTTTTAGGGCCTCCTTCCTTCTTGATTGTCACCTTGGAAAAGACTCTGCTCTTGAGAGTAGAGCTGGGAGGTGACAAGGTGAGCCTGTCATTCCCCTGAGAGGGCACTTGGAGGGGCAGGAGAAGGGGGAGGGTACTGCTCCCAGAGGTCAGTGGCCTGGCTGCTGCTTCCCTGCTGACCAGCTCCCTGGCTACCATAGACGCACAGTGGCCCGTTGTGGTGTCTGAGCAGACCTGTGCTCTGTGGCCTTCTCTGTGGCTAACTTTTAATACACAGATCACCAGGCCTTTCTTCTCCTGAGGTGTTCCTGGGCAGACTCACACCTCAGACCTTTGGGTCAGAAGCCAAGAGTGTTCACCATTCGCACCCCTAGGCGGTCCCTGTTGGAGGCTGGGTGCTGGCTTGTGGGTGCGGTGATGGAACCCCCTGCGGGGGAGAGAGTAACACTGGCCGTGCAGACTGAGTGTACCAGCATGAGGCTCACAAAGCCTTCCAAGTGCCCTGTGCAGCCAGGGCAGCACCCCACCCTGACCCCAGTGGGAGGTGGGAGATGCTGGCATAGCCCCAGTCTGCCTTGTGGTATGAATGTGGAAATGGGGTGTCTGTTGGGTGAGGTAACAAGCTCTTTAACTACTCGAGGGTCTTGGGGCTGCCAGGAGGGCTAGGCTGGGGCTCATGCTAGCTGGTTTCCTAAGAAATAATAGGTTGGATACAAAGAACCCACCCCTCTCCCCACCATCCCTCTTTTTTTCCAGAGCCTCGGAGGGCAAGACAGTGGAAGTGCCTTACAAAGGGGATGTGGAGAACACGATCCTGGATATTCTCGGGGGACTGAGGTCCACCTGCACGTATGTGGGGGCCGCCAAACTCAAAGAGCTCAGCAGGAGGGCCACGTTCATCCGGGTGACCCAGCAACACAACCCCGTATTCAGCTAACCCTGGGGCTGCTGTGCCAGCCCGATTGTGTGGAAGTTTCCATGTGCACCTGCTCACTCCAGCCCGCCTCTGCCTGCCCGCCTGCCATCTACAAGCTTCTCCTCTCCCCATGCCTGCCACCCGGGGCCTTGGGATGCTCCCTGGTGCCTTGTGGGGCCCGGATGCAGCGCACTGACTAGGTTGGTGGTCAGAGCCCACCTGCCCACAACTCATCACCTCATTGTGAAAACTGACATTTGCACCTTTTCCTTCCTTCCTTTCTTTTCCATTTTAAAAAAAGAAAAATGGTTGCACTTTAATATAAGGCTGTTACTTAAGAATTGAGTGCTGGAGTTTCCATGGGCAGGTATTCAGCTCTATGGGCAGTGGGAGGTGGTGGAGTGGGATGGGATGCCTCTTTCTATTCCCAGGCAGGTGTATAGGCTGGGCTGTGAACCGGAAGGATGGCAGTTTAAGTTCAGTGGTACCTCCGAAGAAAGGCCTGGCGGTCTGTCGCCCAATGATCGGTGCCCCTGAAAGAAAGCGCCCTGGAGTGGAGTTTTCTCTGGGCACATGAGGTCACTGTGAATCTGACAGACTCAACAGCAGCTGGTTTGGTTTTCGTGGCTGGGCTGTTCTGGGCCATGGCTGACTGTTAAGAATCAAGCCCACCTGGGAGGGCAGGAAGAGGAGGCCTCGGGGAATTAGACTCAGGTGCTGCTCAGGAGCCCTCTCCTCCTACTTTTGGTTATTTGCAAAGAACTAAAGGAGTTGACTGGGCAGAACTCCAAGGACTGGTTTCGGTTGATGCTCCCAGGGCTCTAGGGTAAGGGGACCAGACGTCCCGCTTTTGAACAATTTTTCCCATGTCTCGCGGTGTTTTAAAAAAGTCCTGATTTTTGGAAAGAATGCGCGACAAGCTAGGGCATACGGTTTTCAGCTGCCGTGTGGCTGTTTCGCCAGGATATGCGTTTATCAATGGTGTCCCGCTTTACCAATGTTAAAATCTGGTCACCTTAGTCTAGGGACACATTCTTCATCGCCTTTCATTACCACAGTCTCTTGGGGACCTCTTTTTGGGCTCTACCAGACTTGTCGACTCCCTGCTTCCAGGGAGCTGCGTCTGGTGTCCTGTTCCGTTTTCTCTTTCGTCTATTTGCTTTCCCGTCTCAGCTCCATCTTGCCAGGCTGTTTTCTGGTAAGGAGGCTATAAAGTATCTTGAAACTCCCTAGCTTGTTTGATCGGAAGGCTACCTACTGAACCTTGGCTGGGTTAGAGGCCAACTGGAAACCAGCCAGAGCCCTGACATCCTGAAGGGCCTTGGTCTAAAATGTGACTGAGAACCGTTTTCTGGTCTCGGCGATGAATACTCTGAAGGGAAGCAGCGCCAGGTGTTACCACGTAACAGTTCATGGGAGAAGGGATCCTGCCGGCATCCACTCTGACACTGGTTCAAACCGTGACCTCCTGATGGGGTCGGGATGGCCAGCCACTGCTGGGCAAGCATTTCTTGAGTACTAGAATGCTCCAGCAGATCTCTGTCTATTCTGCATCAAGCAAAAGTGCCACGTAGTGTCGTTGACAGCTGTCAAGTTGGTACTTGGCCCCCCCTCCTCCCCCCGCCACAAGGAAAGGAAACACTGCCCAGCCCTGCTGTGTCCCATGCCCATGATCAGTGATGATCAGATCATTGTGACTTCCCTCACCCCACCCTGAGATGGAGCATCAAGCCTTTCTAGTCTGACTTAGCCGGGAATCGCTTCTGAAAACGATTCGGCCTCACAGCCACATGGCAGCCTTCTCCAATGACAGGCCCTGGCTCGCCCTGAGCACATTGGCCTTGAAGCAAACCTCTACTTTCTGCATGGAGGGGGACAGTCTCAGCAGTGTGAAACCAAGGCCTTCCGAAGAAGTAGACGGCAGTGGGCTTTCTTTGGAAAGGCAAGGGGAGGAGGGAAACCTCTTGGACTATGGGAAGTCAAGCCATGAGGCCGGGTTGTCTACAGGGTGCATCCAAGAGCTGCAGCTGTGCCTGCCCGTGGCTGAGTGCTAATCCAACTCTCCCACTCGGGGGTCATCTAGGCCTAATCCATGTAAGAGCCAGGAACGTTAACCCTGTTGACATGCCCCCGTCACCCCAAAGCCCCTAAGGGACACACGTGACTGCATGACTCTGATAATGGTCAGGAGGATGCTGAGGGTAGAGTGAGATGTGGAGTCTGCCAGAGGGCCCCTGCCTTGTGCAACTGTGTGACAGAAAGAGAGGCCTTTGGCTCTCCTGTGGAAGGCGTGGTTGAGGTGCCTGCCTTGAGAGGGGGTTTGCTTAAGCAGTGCGCTTTACTGCTAACTGGAAAGTTTGAGGTTGGAATCCATCTAGGTTGAATGCCTCAGAGGAAAGGCCTGGCTACCTCCTGCCCCTAGAGCCCCAGGGAGCAGAGTTCTACTCTGACATAGGGAGTTCTTGGGGGTTAGAATCCATCAGTAGCCAACTTTGGGGGTGAGGGAGTAATTGTACAATAAGGGAGAGGAAAGGAAATCACTTTTTAAATCCACAAAAATGATTCAACAACAGCGTGGGCGCTCCCTTCAGCACGCTGATGCTATGGTGCCCCAGGACATCAGTGCCCCTCACTCAGGCTGGGTGCCCTGCCACTCGTGGGCAGGCAGGGTGGACACACTGAGGGTGACACTGGCCTCAGCAGACGCAGGCTCTGCTCTGTCCAGCTGATGTAAGGCGCTTTTGGACTTGTTCCTTGGTTGGGGAAGTGCAGACTGGGTTATTGCCAGGGGCCTGAAGATGCAACAGGATCACCTTGAAGCAGAAGCGGACTAGAAAGTGGGGCTTCTCTGGCTGCACTGCCCTTGCCTTGGCAAGTCCTGCTTGCTTGTCATGGAGATGGGTGGGCCTTGGCAGCCCCTTAGATCAGGTGTGACACAGGACACCCAAACTGCTGCCCGCAGGCACTGCTCCAGGCCTGGGTGGGTTCTGGAAGGAGTCCCTGCCAGCTCTGGCAGGAAAACCTTAGCTGAAGGCCGCTGCTCAGCCTGATCTGTGCCTACGTCCTGTTCCAAGACCACCAGTTGTAAGGACTGGCCCACTGCAGCTCAGAAAACAGCTCATCCTCCACTGGTGGGCTTCCTCCACTTTAGATAGCTCTTTTAATCTGTTCTGCAGGGCTCACCTAATTGCTACTGGCTTCCTGCTCTTTCACACACAAGCATTCACCAAAAGCCAGGACTGGGAGAGTCCTGGTTAACCCACAGCACCCCATAGGGGAAAGGAGGGGGTTCCAAGGCTCTAAATCATTGTAGGAGTAGACTGCCACATCTCTCTCATTGATCAGCTCTGGGATTTGAACCACCAACCCAGACATTCGCAGCCCAACGTTTAATTCATTGGAACACCAGGGCTCCTTGGTTCCTATAGGCTGACCCAAACACATCTGACCAAGGAGATATTGAAAGGAGATAGTCTTTTCTGATTGTGTGGAGTGGAAATACAATTGACTGCCGAGAATTCTCTTCCACCTATGCAAAGATGGACAAAGTCGAGGGGCATGTGTGTAAGTGGAGGGGCCCGTTCCGGGAAACCAGGAGGCCTCTTGAGGAATGCCTCTTTGGAGGCAGCTGCTCAGCCCAGGCTGTTGGGCACAGCACAGCCCTGAGACACTGAGAGGCTCACAGGACTCCTCGGTGCCGGGGTCGGGGAGCCCTCGCTCTGAGTTTCTCATAAGCAGGACCTACAGGGGACACAAGGGATGTCCTGCCTTTAGACTGCTGACCAGCTCACTGCAGAACTGTTTGGAATGTGACCATTTTGTCACATGAGCCTTTCAAACTCAAAATGCAGTGCCATCCAGTCAATTCTGACTCAGAGTGACCCTGTAGGACAGGGTAGAGCTGCCTGTGTGGGTTTCCAAGACTGCAAATCTTCATGGGAGTAGAAAGCCTCCCCTTTCTCCCACAGGGCAGCTGGTGGCTTTGAACTGCTGGTCTTGTGTTTAGCAGCACAACACATAACTCACGATGCCATCAGAGTTCACACATGAGCCGTTGACAGTTGCCAGATGCATGCACACAGCTGTATATCTCAACCATCAACATGAACTGAACAAGTGACACCGGATGTGGAAAATGCGCTTTTTTTCTTTGAAGCAAGGAGCTCTGGTGGCACTGTGGTTAAGCGCTTGGCCCCTGACCCAAAGTTCTGCAGTTGGTGACACCAAGCTGCTCCTTAGGGAAAAGATAGGGCAGTTTGCTTCTGGAAAAAATACAACCTTGGAAATCCATGGTCTATAAGGGTTGGGATTAACTGGACAGTAGTTTTGTTTTTCATTGAATATCTGAAGCTTATCTTCAGTATTAGTTAACTTCCTCCACCAACCCCGGTCCCAAAGACAAAGATTGGCAGGGAAAACAATGCCCCACGTCACTTGTCAAAACAAGTCTGCTCAGGTGACCCATGAGGGGAGGTGGGGGTGGTGGTGGTGATAAGGCAGGCAGAGGGGACTAAGTACAGTGTAGCAATCCTCCTTTAATCTCAGCCTCACGCCCAACACAAGGCAAGGACACGCATTTGCAATTGGCACTGTTATTTTATTAGTACGAGTATACTGAAACAATAAACTTGTACTGGTATACAGACAATTTATTTAAAACAATTTTGTTCAAATTTTGAATCAAACATTGTTTTATTATCATAATGAAATAATTTCTACCTAGAAAACCTGCAAGCACCATCAAAGAAAGGGACCATAAAATTCAATAAACAGACTCGAGTGTATCCTACAAATAGACACACCACGATTAGAAAATAGAATATGAATTCTTCCTTTTTTTTAATATTTGTCTTAAAAAAGCTAGTGCAAGTACAATATTTTACACTGGAATTACAGAGAGTATGCACGCATATGGAAAAAAGTTCTCCTGTCACAATAAAAGCTCTTAACTAGGTATGCACTTAATTTTTTTTTTTTCTTTTCAATAAGGTGCAAAACATCATTCCTTCCCCAGCTCTCCTTATACTGGCCATCAGTCTGCGAGTGCTCTCAAACCGAGTCCTGGTGTCTCTTTTCCCTTGGCCCATGGGAGGTATTGACCCAATACTAAAGCGTGTCCCATGGTGTCAACCTCAGAAGTGGCCCTGGGGCAGGGACCCCACAAGCTAGAAGTGTGGGCTCAGTCTTGAGCCAAAGGCCATCACCAATACTGACGGGATGCTACAGAGCCCTTCTGGTTGACACTGCTGTCCTTTGGGCATTTGGGTTCACAGCGGAGCAGTACAAGCTGGGAAGAAGAAACACGGCCCAGGCTGGTCTTCCTAGACCCGAAGGAGAG